GATTGTGACAGCCTGAAGGGAAATTGTAGGAGACCAAATCTACAGTGTATAACATCAGTTTTGTAGCATCACTTGTTGGGATGGGCAAACTTTGGCCCTTCAGGTGTTTTGGACGTCAACTCTAACAATTCCTAACAGCTAGTAGTTGAAGTCCAAAACACTTGGAGGGCCAAAATTTGTCCATGCCTGCTCTACAAAGTAACTGAACTACGACTTCACAAATCCCTGGTAGTTTGAAATAATAGCTAATAAAATGCTGATAAAATGCTAGTATGCAATCATACATATATTTAAAACATCAGATAAAACGTAAAAACAGACCGGGGAGTTTAACTACACAGCCGTCCTCGGCGCCATCTTGGAACTCTCAAATCCCTGGTATGGTAGGAATCATAGAATAGGAAGAGACCACAAGGGTCATCGAGTTTCCTGCCATGCAGGAAAATACAACCAAAGCCAGCTAAGAAGAGACTCAACAAGATAGTCACCACCGTTTCCTAGCTTGATCATCCTGGCACAATTGACACCACTACTTACTTCCTTAGGTGATCCCTCATTGTCCGAGTAGGATTGTCTTCCAAGATCGGTGTACTAACGGTGGGTCCGTAGGTGACTGTGAAGCCCTATTCTTGACCTACATGTTCTCCCGCAGTGAGGGCATCGGTTTTCAGGTGGAAGGCAGTTGGGGCTGGCTTGATGCACCTTCCTCTTGGCACATTTCTCTCTTTTGTCCTCCATTTGTGCCTCTCCAAATTCTACAGCACTGTTGATCACAGCTGACCTCCAGCAGGAGCGTTCAAGGGCCAGGGCTTCCCAGTTCTCAGTGTCTATGCCAGAGTTCTTAAGGTTGGCTTTGAGCCCATCTTTAAATCTCTTTTCCTGCCCACCAACATTCTGTTTTCCGTTCTTGAGTTCGGAGTAGAGCAACTGCTTTGGGAGATGGTGGTCAGGCATCCGGACAACGTGGCCAGTCCAGCGGAGTTGATGGCGGAGGACCATCACTTCGGTGCTGGTGGTCTTTGCGTCTTCCAGCATGCTGACATTTGTCGGCTTGTCTTCCCAAGAGATTTGCAGGATTTTTCGGAGACAGTGCTGAGGGAATCGTACCAGGAGTTGCATGTGATGTCATCGAGTTTCGTGCCATGCAGGAAAATGCAACCAAAGCCGACTAAGAAGAGACTCAACAAGATAGTCACCCCATCTCCTAGCCTGACCACCCTGACACAATTGACATAGTGTGATGGAGTTTGCAAACCAAAGACATACTTTCCTTATTTAAAGAGAGCTTTAACATTGGGGGGTGGTTATTAATACTGCCCAACTCAGAAGGTGATGTCATTAGAAAAGGACTGACTGCTAAGAACAGCAATACTAACTATGTAATTGAGGGAGACATTGGAAACACAGAACTGCATGTGGCCCTCCAAATTTGGTTAGATTGCTGGTCCCACCAACTCTAGCTAATGAAACCAATGGTGAAGAATATGGGAACATTCGACAATATTAGTTCGTCAATATTAGGACGTCCATGCTTCCCTAGCCCTTGACTGATCTGATCCGATCATTGTAAGTAGCTCTAACGGACAAGGGGCAACAAATACAAGCTTGGTGTTTAACCTTCTCCAAGAAAACTTAAAAATCAATCAGCTACACATTGACCAAGAAAACCAAGTCAATTCTGATTCTGGTGTGAAAGTGGAGTCCGTATGATAGTGTTTCCACCAGTGGTCTGCAAGAACTAAAATATGGTCGACAATCTCACTGTTACTACACCGTAGCAATGAAAACAACTGGTTTCTTAAAAACCTCTTATAGTGCTGAGGCTTATTGAATATAGTTTTCTGTGGGTGAGCAGATGGCAACTACTGTATGGCATATGTTCTGTATCAGAAACTCGAGCTGATGTAGTCTATCCAATCAATTTTCTGAGTCAGCACTCCAAATAACAAAACTGAATCTAAAGTTGACCAAAAACTGATTCATAAGCCTTTTGGTACTAATGTTGGAGAGTGGTCCTTGGTCAAAAAATGGATGGGAACCACTGCCATAAGAGGAAAAATGTGTAGTGGCTCCCATCAGGCCTGGGGAAATCTCCAAAACTCAGTCCTCTCCCTTGATTTCTGAAGCTAAGGAGATAATAACTTGAAGTCAGTCTCTCTCTGGTCTCAGGCCCAAGTTTTCTGTACCATCTCGTTACTTGTTAGGTCTTCTGTATACTATTAAATACAGCCTATCCTCATTTTGTACATGTTTTAACTATTCAAATCTAATGTTGTCCCTGATTTTCTCTCTGTGATGCTGAGGGTTTCAAGTTACATGAGAAAAAGGGCACTTCCTACACGTCTGAGAGGGGGTTCTGCATCATGAGAATGGCATGGTTGGTGCTCCCATGTGGTGCCAGCCCACTCACGCTCCAGTAATTGGAGATTCTCCGGCAAGTGAAATATGGGAACATGTTGTCAGCTCCTCTCTGCACACCCACAAACACCCACGCCCCTCTATTAATGGTATGGGGCAGTGGCAGCAAATGAACTGCTCCTGTAAGGTAACAACTGACCTAGAAAGGGTCACTACAAACAGGTAATTTTCTAGAGCTCAGGACCTTGCCCTTTTCTTTATGCTCGCTCAGCAGCACTGGTTAAATCATTAGACTAAAGCTCAAAGCGGGAAACCAGCATTTGCTGATCTCAGGGATACTCACAATAGTGTGTTATGTTATGGACCAAAAATTACAATGGATTTTCCATTTTTAATAGCTTTAGTTTACAATATCGTAGAATCATATACACTGTATATAGATATAAGGGGAATAAAATGACCATAGAATCATACACAATATATAAAAATATATAGGAAATGAAATTACAGATTAAATTATGTGTAAAAAAAATTTCCATCCCCCCCCGCGCCCCCCCCCAAATTATTAAACATCAGGTGTCTTTGTGAGTTTCGACCCATTCTGCATTGATATTTAATTTTCTTTCATTGCTTTTGTGTGCTGTGAATTTAAAATTAAGTTCAACTAATAGAAGTCACCTTAAGTCTCAAACTGGGGGGAAAGGTAGGGCATAATTAAAACACAGCCCAACAACAACAAATGTCTCGGTGTCTTGGTTTTTAGACCTGTTCATGGGGCTATTTTAGGCCTACTCAAATACTCTTTAAGCATGAATTTTAAATGAATGTCTTTTGTTTAATCCATTTGTGAATTTTAATGTGTATTTAGTGGAAATACGTTTTAATATATAGCTTTTATAGAAAAACATTTTAATTTATTGACAAGCTAGAATGTGTCCAGAGGAGGGCGACTAAAATGATCAAGGGTCTGGAGAACAAGCCCTATGAGGAGCGGCTTAAGGAGCTGGGCATGTTTAGCCTGAAGAAGAGAAGGCTGAGAGGAGATACGATAGCCATGTATAAATATGTGAGAGGAAGCCACAGGGAGGAGGGAGCAAGCTTGTTTTCTGCTTCCCTGGAGATTAGGACGCAAAACAATGGCTTCAAACGACAGGAGATTCCATCTGAACATGAGGAAGAACTTCCTGACTGTGAGAGCCTGCATCTATGGCAAGCATCCTCAGAGGTAGTGAGGTCTGTTGGAAGTAGGAAAATGGATTTATATATCTGTGGAATGACCATGGTGGGACAAAGAACTCTTGTCTGTTGGAGCTACGTGTGAATGTTTCAGAGGAAACAATCTAATCACCTCTCAACAAAAGACTGCCCCAGGCACCAACAAACCACACCAAACAAAAGCCAGGCCATCAAATGCTAATCAAGGTGGTCAGTTGAAATATTCACACCTGGCTCCAACAGATAAGAGTTCTTTGTCCCACCTTGGTCATTCCACAGATATATAAACCCATTTTCCTAGTTCCAACAGACCTCACAACCTCTGAGGATGCTTGCCATAGATGCAGGCGAAACGTCAGGAGAGAATGCCTCCAGAACATGGCCATATAGCCCGAAAAAACCTACAACAACCTAGTTCAGTGGTTCTCAACCTTGCTAATGCCATGACCCCTTAATGCAGTTCCCTATGTTGTGGTGACCCCCAACCATAATATTGTTTTCGTTGCTACTCGATACTTGTCATTTTACTACTGTCATAAATCATAATGTAAATATCCAATATGCAGGATGGATTTTCATCCACTGGACTAAATTGAGCACAAATACCCAATATGCCCAAATGTGAATGCTAGTGGGGTTGGGGGGAGGATTGATTTTGTCATTTGGGAGTTGTAGTTGCTGGGATTTATAGTTCCCCTACATTCAAGGAGCATTCTGAACTCCACCAGCGATGGATTTAAACCGAATTTGGCACACAGAACTCCCATGACCAACAGAAAACACTGGAAGGGTTTTGTGGGCATTGACCTTGAGTTTGGGAGTTGTAGTTCACCTATATCCACAGGAGTGCTATGGATTCATGCAATGATGGATCTGGACCAAACTTGGCACAAATACTCAGTATGCCCAAATGTGAACACTGGTGGAGTCTGGGGAAAATAGACCTTGATATTTGGGAGTTGTACTTGCTGGGATTGATAGTTCACCTACAATCAAAGAGCATTCTGTACTCGACCAAGAATAGAATTGGGTCAAACTTCCCACACAGAATCCCAATGGCCAACAGAAAATACTATGTTTTCTGATGGTCTTTGGCGACCCCTTTGACACCCCCTCACGACCCCCGCAGGGTTGAGAAACACTGACCTAGTTTGAAGGATATTTGGAAGCCAGGCATCATAGCCACAAGCCTTGCATCTCAATTCAAAGCCCACTGTTCTGTCTAGTCTGATGAGGAGGCGTTGCAGATTGGGCACACCAGGCCTGCGTTGCCTCCCCCCCCCCCTCACTACTTGCTTGGGCGGGGAACCCCCTGGAGAGTCTCCATCTCCGGCCTCGCCGGCCGCGCCCAGCCTCCCACGGAGTGGCGTCTCCCCGGATTGGGCGGGGCGGCCGGTGACGTCACTAGCCCCGCCCTCTTCCCCTCCCTCCCTGCCTGGGCTTCGCTTACCCGAGGAGTTTCGCTCAGAAGGCACTCTCGACGGGACAGCAGCCGGCTGTGAGAGGGACGCTGCTCAGCAGCAAGGGAGGCCGGCGCGGAAAGAGGACCCACTCGCTGCCTTCCCATCCAAGACACGAAGGCCTCCGGGATTCTTAATCTGGCTTTCCCATCGGGGCGAGCAAGCGCCATGGCGGGCTCGCTGGCCATCTGGAGCGCTCTCTTGGCCACAGGTAAATGCAGGAGAGGGGTGATGGAAGGGGTCTGAAAGTGCCAGCCACAGGTGCAGGCGAAACGTCAGGAGAGAATGCTGCTAGGACACAGCCCTACTGCCCAGAAACAGCGAGGTGTCAGGAGCGACTGGTGTGAGAGAATTGGCTGTCTGCAAGGAAGTTGCCCAAGGGACGCCTGGATGTGTTTGCCGTCCTGTGGGAGGCTTCTTTCATGCCCCCACATGGGAAGCTGGAGCTGACAGGCAGGAGCTCACCTGCCTGTTAGCTCCAAGCAGGTGAGCTCCTGCCTGAAGCTCTCCCCAGATTCGAACTGCCGGATTCAAACCGCAGACCTTTTGGTCAGCAGTCCTGCTGGCACAAGGGTTTTTAACCCATTGTACTGCCCCATAGGACTCGGAATGGTGGGTAGGGCAGAGAGAGAGGGTCTTCTCTCTGCCTTGGTTCTGCCTGGAGCTCTCTCCAGACTGGAAGGATGGGTAGGGTGGGGGAGAGGGTCTTCTCTCTGCCTTGGTCCTGACTGGAGCTCTCCCTGGATTCAAACCGCTGGATTCTCCCCGGATTCGAACCACCGACCTTTTGGTCAGCAGTCATGCTGGCACAAGGGTTTTTAACCCATTGCACTGCCCCATAGGACTGGAAAGATGGGTCAGGTGGGGAGATAGGGTCTCCTCTCTGCCTTGGTCCTGTCTGGAGCTCTCCATGGATTCGAACCACCAGATTCGAACCGCCGACCTTTCGGTCAGCAGTCCTGCTGGCACAAGGGGTTTTAACCCATTGTACTGCCCCATAGGACTCGGAAGGGTGGGTAGGGCAGAGAGAGAGGGTCTTCTCTCTGCCTTGGTCCTGCCTGGAGCTCTCCCTAGATTCGAACTATCGGATTCTCCCCAGATTCGAACCGCCAACTTTTCGGTCAGCAGTCCTGCTGGCACAAGAGTTTTTAACCCGTTGCACTGCCCCATAGGACTGGAAGGATGGGTAGGGTGGAGGGAGAGGGTCTTCTCTCTGCCTTGGTCCTGCCTGGAGCTCTCTCCGGATTCGAACCACCGGATTCTCCCTGGATTCGAACCATCGACCTTTCAGTCAGCGGTTCTGCTGGCATAAGGGGTTTTAACACATTGCACTGCCCCATAGGACTCGAAGGGGTGGTAGGGCGAAGAGAGAGGGTTTTCTCTCTGCCTTGGTCCTGTCTGGAGCTCTCCCCAGATTCGAACCATCAGATTATCCCCGGATTCGAACCGCCAACCTTTTGGTCAGCAGTCCTGCTGGCACAAGGGTTTTTAACCCATTGCACTGCCCCATAGGACTGGAAGGATGGGTAGGGTGGGCGGAGAGGGTCTTCTCTCCGCTTTGCTCCTGCAAATGGAGTAAAATATTAATTTTAGCCATGCCGTTTTCTGAGTCTGCTCCCTTGGAGGCTGCCTTCTCTGTGTCCCGGGCCAAATTTAGCCTGTTTTGATAGCCGATATGGGACAAAGATGGAATGGCATCGCTCGGGTGGGTGCAGAGGAACCTCAGTGCGGAAGGGACCAGTGTCGATGCCATTTTCCCGCTGTCTCTAGAGCAGGCATGGGCAAATTTGTACCCTCCAGGTGTTTTGGACTTCAACTCCCACCATTCCTGACAGCCCCAGGGCCCCTTCCTTTTCCTCTCAGCCGCTTAAGCCAGGCTTGAAGCTGCAAGCTTAAGCGGCTGAGAGGGAAATGGAAGGGACCTGAGGCTGTGAGGAATGGTTGGGAGTTGGAGTCCAAAACACCTGCACAGCCCCAGTTTGCCATGCCTGTTCTAGAGTAATTTCTATACTTTGAACTGGTTTACACTGCCATATAATCCAGTTCAAAGCAGATAATCTGGAGTTTATACAGCAGTGTAGAAGACGCCCCAGTAACATCCCAGAGTGTTGGATGTTTTACTGATTTGTGCAATCAACACTATGTAACATGATTTTTGGTTCCTGGGAAATCAATGTCATTTCCTAATTGGTTCTATCATAACAACATGGGGAAAGTTTATGAAACTGCAAAAGGTTTATTTTGGCGGGACACCCTGTAGTAGCAAATTTTTGCTATGCTTTTTCAACCACGTTATCAACGTAGTTTGTGGCAGCCACAAAAACAAAGTTTCTGGAGTATAACAACTACTTTCAAAGTAAGGACCGCACAATTAAACAGGAAATAATGCTTTCAAACCAGCAACGTAAACGTGTTGTCGAAGGTCACAAAGGCATCTGATGTTTTAATAATTTCGGGGGGGGGGGGGAATTGAAAAGATTTAATACATAATTTATAATTTTCTGTTGTTGAAGGCTTTCTTGGCTGGAAGCACTGGGTTGCTGTGAGTTTTCCAGGTTGTATGGCTGTGTTCCAGAAGCATTCTCATCTGCCATAGATGTGGGCGAAATGTCAGGAGAGAGTGCTTCTGGAACATGGCCATACAACCCAGAAAACTCACCGCAACCCAGGGACAGAAATTTTCTCAAATTTTGTTACATAGTGTCAATCCATGATCCCAGTATTTTGGAAGCCTTCTTCTGTTTCTGAAATATCTATTTTTTTACATTTTCTATAGCATTGCATTGTTGTTGGACTTCTACTCCTGAGAGCTTTGCAAACATTTTACTCTTTAGACATGTATGATTTTGTGACACGGTGTTTTGGATTTACTCACAAACTTCTAAAGAGAGATGGGAGCATACAGAAACTGTAATAACATGTATGGGGATACAACATATCTAACTTAAAAACTTGAATTTATTTTTTCAAAAATGTATGATTTGCAAGATAGTAACATACATTTCCAAGATGTTTCTCATTTATGAGTAACCATATCTAAATATGTGCAATGTTGCATAATGCTAAAAATAACTATGTATTATTTTAACACAATATATGAGGTCGATGGAATGAACACAGCCTTTGACTATTTGATGGAGTATTAGATAAAGGCACTCACATTGTGTCATTGAGCATTTTTAAGCTCCTATGTTTCAGTGGCATGTGTACTCTTGTGCTGGCAGGACTGCTAACCGAAAGGTTGTTGGTTCGAATCTGGAGAGCGGGGTGAGCTCCCGTCTGTCAGCTCCAGCTTCCTGTGCAGGGACATGAGAGAAGCTTTCCATAGGATGGTAAAACATCCAGGCAATGTCCTTGCAGATGGCCAATTCTCTCACAACAGAAGTGACTTGTAGTTTCTTAAGTTGGAAGAAAAAGTAGTACATAGGCTCCTAGAGATTTCTCATTCATGCAACACATCTGCACATTGCAGCTGGCACACAAACGTGTTGTGACACACATGTTTTAGCATGTCAAAAAAGCTCCCAGAGTTCTGTGTGCTAAAACACGCTTGGGAATAGCTGTATCAAAAAAGAGTCCCGCTGTGGCGGTACATGGTCTAGAGCCCTGTCCAAAGTGGGTACATGCGTGTATCAGAATGATAGGTCTGGATATAACTGAGATAAGTGGACATATAGACTGTACCTGAGTGGGTGGTCCACATTATTTTTGTTTTATCTTGGTTTTAATCCGGGCTTTGTTTGTGCTGTACAGTAGCTCTTCTATAAATAATGCTGTCCACTCTCCAAAGGCAAGGTTATTTTGGGCTTTGGTGTGAGGGAATCAGACAGCAAGCCTCAGACTGGATTGCATGCATTCTGGATAGTTTAAAAATGGGGGACAGGGGCTTGTTGATCAACTTGAGAGCCTTGTTCGTCCTATTAAAATACCCTTACTCCTGCTCGTAGTTTTCTCCATCCTGGTGAATGGTGAGGAGACTGGGCTGCTCCCGAATGAAGTCTACAAAAAAGAAGGCAGAGAAGATTGGGTCGAATCTCAGCTGCTTCCAGCCAGAGAGACGCTGGAGCGTGAAGTCGAGAGAGAGGGAGCCATGTCATCCTCAGGCGATAACCTCAGCGAACTCCCTCGAGGTATGTCCAAGGGTCTCTTATAGTAGGAGAAAGATGGGAGAACCATTTGTTTGCTGTGACCTCTGCAGATGTGGGTGGAGTCATGCAGAATCTCTGAGGGCATGGATGGCAGATTGCTTTCCAGACCATAGAGTCCATTAGCCTTCGCAATAAGTTTGGAAAATGTTCACACTTTTTTCTGATTCTGATTTATTAATTGGACACCACCACAATATTAGATACGGTTGCTTCTATTGAATGATACATGTTTAGCATTGTCAGCTTTGAGTGATGCAAGATCAAATACTGGAAAATAAATGTGCTCAGAGCCTCCTCTGGGCCCTTCCATATAGCCATATAACCCACAATACCTCCTTTGAACTGGATTATCTGAGTCCACACTGCCATATAATCCAGTTCAATGTGGATTTTATACAGCTGTGTGGAAGGGACCTTAGTCTCCAAATCATTTCTGCATCTTTTTGGTAGTGTTTTGTAATATATATGAAGAGAAAGCAGAAAGTTAACATTAAAACACAGGCATCATTTAATCTGATAGATTATCAAATTAACAGTAAATTAATGCATGCAAAATCTTGGGGCAAACTTCAACTGTCTCTTTAAAGAAGTGGAAAAACATGAGGTCATGGATGTTTGTGCTATTCAGAGCAAGCTATACTGGGCTAAGAGATGTAGTGAAAGGCAGTGCCCTGTGTTGTACTTTTGTAGCTTGTTCTGCTAATTGGGTTGAACCACTGAGCTGCTGAACTTGCTGACCGAAAGGTCGATGGTTTAAATCTGTGGAGTGGCGTGAGCTCCTGCTGTTAGCCCCAGCTTCTGCCAATCTAGTAGTTCAAAAACATGCAAATGTGAGTAGATCAATAGGTACCGCTCTGGTTGGAAGATAGCGGTGCTCAATGGAAGGGTGAGCTTCTGCTGTAAGCCCCAGCTTCTGCCAACCTAGCAGTTCGAAAACATGCAAATGTGAGTAGATCAATAGGTCCCGCTCCGGTGGGAAGGTAGCATCGCTCAATGGAGTCATGCTGGCCACATGACCTGGAGGTGTCTATGGACAACACAGGCCCTTCGGCTTAGCAATGGATATGAGCACAACCCCCCAGAGTTGGACATGACTAGACTTAATGTCAAGAGGAAATCTTTACCTTTCCTTTACATTATGTGCATCTGATATGTGTTTATTAGAATGTTATTTTGTTATTGTATTCATATGTTTTTTAATGTAATTTTGATGCTGTTGCTTGTTGCTTATGTTTTGGTTTTATTTTGCTGTAATATGTTGTCCAGGTTTGACCTCCTGTAAGCTGCCCCGAGTCCCTGTTGGGAAGATGGTGATGGGGTATAAATAAGATTATTATTATTATCATCATTATCATCATTATTATCATTATTATTATTATTATTATTATTATTATTATTATTATTATATGCAATTGGGAATGACAGTCTAAAATCCAAGCAATGACACCTCAGAAAAGACAGACATCATATTTTTTGCCTTTTCAGATACAACAGCTTGTACCACCTTTCCCAGTTTGAAATAACTAGGTTACTTTCTACCTGTTTAGTATAGTGCATGGTGGAGTCAGGTTTGCCTTGTGAGACATGGCCTACCGGACAGTAAATTCCTAATTCAAAGGTTTCTTGTCACTCCAGTTCGTGTACAGTTTGTTGTTAGAAAGCTGATGGGTTTGTGTTTGCAGTTACGGGAAAGTTAAAAGTGTGCTTCAGAGTAGATTGTTTTTCTAGATCTGAATTTCAAACCAAGTTGGATTGCGATAAAATCTAAACTGTTTGGGATGTTTTCACTGGTGTGTGCACAACCTTGGTAACCAAACTGAATCCTCATTATAAGGGAGGGAACCAAGCAGGAATGTTCCCACGGAAGTTCTTGCCTTATGTGCTTGATGTCACAGTGTGCTGATGTTTTCGTAGTTCCTTGTTTCTATTTTCTGAAGCTCGCTGCTTCCCTGGAGGCCCCAACATCCCTACTTTGCGCCAGCCGCACATTCCAGCTGCCCACAAGTCCTTAGAGCTGCATCCTGTGCTGCCCACAATGTTTAGTCCTCTTGTGAAGTATAATCACAAGCCCCTGCACTTCAAAATGCAATATAAAAATTAGAGGACTGCTTGGGTGAGGATGGCTTTGCACATAGTAGGCTCTTACCTTTCATGCAGTTTGCCTGCTACTGCGGTATTTGGAGAGCATGCCAAAGCAGAGTCAGTGCTCCAGCTGCTACAAGCTGGTTCTTTCTCTCCTGTGTCGGGACACAACTTGTTTAATTGGTAACAATATTTTCATGTTTCCCTACTTCTTGGGTACCTTTCTGTGGCTATTGGTTCACTCTTAATTTCTTCCGTTTACACTACATTTTCTCCAAAGATATTCAAACTTGGCAGCCTCAACATTTCCTTCATTCTTCCTCCTCCCATTAACAAAAACCTCCTTCCTTTTATGGACAATATTTCCCGACAACAGGTTCCATAGCAACAGCATTCTTAGGTATGACAAAGGAGAAGGAGAATTTTTTTGGTTGCCCTTTGTACAGCTTGGTAGGGTTCGAGCAAGTTGAAGACACGATTAATTCCTGGGCAGTGGTCCAAAAGTATGTTGAACAAGTCATTCGCTACCTTGTGTACATTGCTGTGTATGTGTATCCAGGTGGAAGTGCTCATTTTCCAGCCGAGCAGTGCTGCTGCTAATTGATGGAGGGGATTCAGAGATGATTCACTGTCACCCACCCACACAGTGTGGTTCTTCTTACCTTGCTGAGCTGAGTCACTTAGGGCAAAGCTGTGCCACCCGGGGGCGTTTGGCTTGAGTTCCAATCCATCCTCTTTGCCCATTTTTGTCTCAACACTCTTGTGTGGCTTCTGCCAAATATGGATCCCAGAGCAACAGCCACTCCAGGGTTCAGTCTTGTGTGAGAAGGACTTTGAGCTGCAGCAGCTGAGCCAGGTTGACCTGTGAAGAGGAAAAGAACTACATGGCTGCATTCAGCAAGGCTGCCTCTATATATGTCCCATTATTCCAACTGTCACCCAAGTCAAAAAAGAAGCACAATTAAAGCCTTGGCAGACCGTGCAAAAAGAATCTGTGAACCCCACCTCCACCAAGGTGAACGGAACCACCTAAACTGGGCTTTACAGGCCAATGGATACTCCACCTCAGACATCAGAAGAGCTACAAGACCGAGAACTATCAGCGAGAGTAAATACAAAGATTCCCCCCAGAGGAAAAATTTTTTTACCATACATCAAGGGAACCACTGACCGCATAGGGAAGCTGATGAAAAAACACAACATACAAACTATCTACAGACCAACTAAGAAAATCCAACAAATGCTACGTTCAGCAAAGGACAAGAGGGATCCTCTCATCTCTGCCAGAGTCTACCGTATCACATGCAGCTGTGGACAAGGTTTTCCCCCGACATGAAGTCCAGTCTGGGGTATGGTGCTCATCTCTATTTCAGCGCCAAAGAACCATCGTTGTCCATAGACTCCTCCAAGGTCATGTGGCTGGCATGGCTGCATGGAGCGCCGTTACCTTCCCGCCGGAGTGGTACCTATTTATCTACTCACATTTGCATGTTTTCGAACTGCTAGGTTGCCAGAAGCTGGGGCTTATACACATATTTCCAGGTGACCTTTCCCCATTTGCTTTGGGTGTGTCATGTCATTGTTCTTCCTTGCCTCCATTTCTCTCTCTTTGCATTTGAACACTGAATCCCTTGAATCATTTTTTCCTTTTTTGCAGCTTTCCCTTTAACCTTCTCTGATTCTTCTCTTCAGTTCTCCATTCTATCTACTTCATGGGTTTTGTGGGAGAATGGATGACATCGATGGTCAAATTCAGAGGAGCTGATGAGGTGGTGTCATCATTATTACCACCATCATCACCTTCTTAATTAATGTATTAAAACAAATACAAATACAGATGGAAATACAAAAATTAATAAATATATATGAATGTTATTGTTAAAAGACAATTTAACAACCTGTAGAATTGACATGAATTGGGACATGAGCCTCTGAACTTGCTGACCAAAAGGTTGGTGGTTCGAATCTGGGAAGCGGGGTGAGCTCCCGCTGTTAGGCCCAGCTTCTGCCAACCTAGCAGTTTGAAAACATGCAAGTACCTCTTCTGCAGGAAGGTAACGGCGCTCCATGCAGTCATGCCAGCCACATGACCTTGGAGGTATCAACGGACAACACCAGCTCTTCGTCTTGGAAATGGAGATGAGCACCACCCCCCAGAGTTGGACATGACTAGACTTAACATGAGGGAAAACCTTTACTTTTACTTAGAATTAGCATGAGTACAATATCTTTGTGGTACCAAATGGGCTGCGTACTAGTTTTGGTCACAATTCCTCCTTCTAAGTCTTTTGTAAACTGTGCAATATTTCTATGGTTCTGGATTCTACACACACTTCTCAGCATTCATTACATGCCCAGTTGTTGTGTCAGTGTACATGGATGAACATGGCAAGTCCATAGCAGTCGAGGAGAGAACAGTCTCTGAGTTTCCTTCTTTCTCAGCATTTCCGAAATATGGTGCATTTCTCATATCACTGGCACCATGATTCTGTTCCAGATTTTATTCCAAACTTTATAGGAACTATCCAAAGTGCTGAATTCAATTGAAAGGATAGGCATTAGCATTTTGGTCACTCCTTTAAAGTTCATACTAAAACCTAAAGCAAATGTACCATTGTGTAGAAGCCATCAGTCACCCCTGATTCCTCCTTCTTCTGGGTACTGTGATAACTGTGAAGCTGTCTGAAGGTGGAATTGCAATTTAATAAAGTAGAAACTGCTTTTCTACTTCCATCCTAAATGCAAAAGTTTTGCAGGCTCGTCTTATGAGTTGTTCTAATTTCTGATTCATATCAAGAAGAAAGGGTGAGGGGATGCGTGAATAACAGCAAAGAAGCCATAGAACAAAGAAGAGGATGATGTTCTTTCACTGAGTTGCACACTGCAAGTTGTTGCAACTT